TAAAGGACAGTGTAACTATCAGCGCGGCCGTGGTACTCTCAGCTCGACAGTCAGCATTCCTGCCGGCTTTCAATCGATGCAAAATTATTTGGCAACTAAAGGCCCGTTTGTTGGAAGTTCGTTTCCATGAATTTCTTTTCAAATTAACAGAAAGAGAATAAGGGAGAATTGAACAGGCAAGAGGGGAAAGGCATGAACACTTTACTTTTCTGAATTGTCCAATTATGTTGTTCAAAGTCTAGGTCACGTTTGCCTTCAAGACAAATTAGTTTATCCAGTGAAAATGCTACAACGGTTTACCGCAATCGGCGGCCCATATGCGCACTCTTAGTTCCCAGCAGCATTTGCTATGTTGATCAAGCCGAGGCGTTACTTTCGTATTAAAAAAAATTGCCCAGTAATTCTAATGCAGGGAAATTTCCAACTTTTCCTATACTCATTCCCTATTTTTATGACTGACATTGGTAAGTTGATTATAAAATGTTTCTCCAAATGCACAGCTGGCAACTTTTTGGCAACTACGCTGATTGCTTCGACCAACAAACAAACTGAAACATGCGCGCTTTTTGGGCTCAACTACCTTCAAATACAAAACATCGTATAAATACATGACATATAATGGTCTATCAATTTTTAGGACATGCGACAACTAAGTTGCAAGCTTAGTAATTGTTTTTACTAATTGCTAATGTGAACATTATACGCAACAGCCATCATGAAGTACATACACGGTAAAGTTTCTACTGAATGGCTCCATCGTCCAGTGGTCAGCCTGCTAGTGGTGATTACCAAAGTGAAATACACAGAGTGTTAACTCTTTGTCACTCACTAGGGCTAGAAAAAAGCGCCGAAAATGTATTTCTAGCGATAAGAAAAGACAGAACTTCTTTCTGTTATAATTTAAGGGGAAGTAAAGTAATTTAGCAATTCCAAAAACTCTTCTGTTGCAGCGGTTTTGATGACACATGCACTACAGTACTACAAAGGAGGACAAGTCTACCGACCAACACAGGCAGAATGTGCCTCTAATGTAGGTGGTCATGCTTGGCTCATTGCTGGTCTCGACTACGAAGGCGAAAATCCTTACTACATTATCAAGAACAGCTTTGGCGCATCGTAAGTTACCAAAGGATTTCAGCTCTATGATTTAGTTATAATACTTTGGATGCGTTTAAGATCAAAAATGACATTTGTCATTTTTGATGCGCTCAAATCTTCTGAAGCAAATTGATAGTGCCAAAGACGGCTGCAAAAACAAGGTTGAAGTATGAAGTCATTAGGATCGGAATGCTTGGCATAACTATGTTCGGCTTGAAGGAGCACCTCATCTTGTAACTTCAGTAACGTGGGATATTCGCACTGTTTATTCTGATGGTCTTCGCATGCTTGGCAAATAATTTTACGTCAGATTACACAACTGTAATTTGATGTAATATTATTTGCCAACTTTCTGAGGTAGCAGCTCGGTGTTGGCAAAGGAGAAGAAGTTTGAAGAGTATTTGTTAATATAATCTCGACAAGCTTGGTCCTTCTAAAGCCGGAAGGCTTTTTTTTGAATTTCGTATGTAAAGAGTTAGAGAAAATCTTCCAATGTACATTGAAGAAATGGCATACTTTTGAAATGGTTTTGTGGATTTTATAGTGCCATGACACTCACTAATAATTTCGTGACCTACAGATGGGGCGAACAAGGCTATGTTCGTTTCGGTGCTGGGCAAAATCTCTGCGACTCGGAAGTACGAAGCTACGGTGCGCAGTTGTGATAAGCCGAAAACGGAGCACCACTAACTTCTGTGCAGTACCACTGACCCCGTCTTCTACTTTTGTCACAATGTGATTATAAATTATGCAAAAATATTTAATATTTTCTGTGTTATTGTGTGTTTTTGCCTATATGCAAATACGAAATATGTATGTGTGCTTGTGTGTGGGTATGTGTGTGTGTGTTTGTGTGTGTGTGTGTGTGTGTGTGTGTGTGTGTGTGGGTTTGTGTGTCTATCCAGATATCTCGACTCTGCAGCCAAGCAAGCTTCGGCGTTGAAATTTTGTCAGTGGGTTTCCTGGCCAAATGCCACTCCAGGGCTGCTGCATTAATATTTACACACGTTTGGGCCTCGTGCATGAGCGCGTAAAAGTTTTGGCAGGACTATTAACTCGAGGACTAGGAAAGCTTAGAGACTAAAATTTTAAGGGCGTGTTGCATGCCCAAGTAGAAATTGAAGATTTCAAAATCAGTTCCCACATATGCATGGTTCTCACGTATGGGTGCTTGAAAGTTTTGGCGGAAAAATTACTCACTGAATAGGTCGGTCATTATCAAAGAACAACCGTTAAACACAAATTGTTCATTTTTTAAATGCAAAATTTATGACAATTTATACTAGTGAGCTCACAAGATATGTATAAA